GGAAGAGGAAGGAGCGTTAGACTTCACAGAGAAGGGACACAGCTGCAGACACAACCGTATGGAGACTTTCCTTCAAGAGGTCAACGAATAGAACCCCGGGCCGGCTCCTCCTGGGTGTGCCCTCCACAGCCACGCAGAACAAAGCGACCCATCATCCCCAGGATGGGCCTTCAGCTCCTTCAGCCGACCCCCATCCACCTTCCTGGTCACCCTCCGTGGATCATAGGCTCAGACCTCTCAGATCACAGGGGCCTCACTTGGGCCCAGACAAGTTAAGGAATTTGCCCAAGGTCACACAGGGAATCCAAAAGTAAGATTTGAACCTGGGTCCTCTGACTCCAAAGGGCAGCTAGGTGGTGTGGTGGCTACAGTGCTGGGCCAGGAGTCAGAAGGACCTGTGTTCAAATCCATCCTCAGACACTTTTTAGCTACATGACCCTCGGCAAGTCACTTCACCCTGTGTGCCTCAGTTTCCTCATCTGTAAAATGAGCTGGAGAAGGACATGGCCCACCACTCCAGTCTCTTTGCTAAGAAAACCCCAGATGAGGGGCAGCTAGGTGGTGCAGTGGGTGGAGCTCTGGCTTTGGAGTTGGGAGGACCCGAGTTCAAATGCGGCCTCAGACACTTGACACTTGCTAGCTGTGTGACCCTGGGCAAGTCACTTAACCCTGATTGCCTAAACAAATGAAAAAAAAACCACACACACAAAAAACACAAAAGAAAACCCCAGATAAGGTCACAGGGAGTCGGACATGACTGACAAAATATAAAACCTACCCCACCCCAGCTGCTGTGAGTAAAGTTCTTAATAATCACATCTAAAGTGCTATACAAATGAGTGTTGTTTTCATACTTTAACAACCTCTTAAGCCTCAGGAAATCTGACCCGGAATGTTTTGTCTCTCAGGAGTAAGCAAGAACAGTCTGTTCAGTGGGTGGCAGATGACAGCTGCAGGATGGGGGGGGGGCGGGGATGGCGCTACCGTCCTCCGGAGGATCATCATAGATCCCTGATTGCACCCAGGTGGGACCCTCCTGCAGGGCCGTTCCCAGCCAGCCTGATTTGGGTTCATGCTCTCCCAAGGCCTCATTACCTTCTAGGTCATCAGGCCACCTGTGAGTACTAATGCTCTCTCTCAGACACACGGTGAGAATGGAGCTCTTGACACCACCACCACCGACTCTTGTACATGCCGGGGTCTGGTCCACAACGTTGACATCCTTTCCACTTCTTCACAGAGCAACTCAAGAACTGGGAAGGCCCCAAATGGTCTGCTCCACTGTCAGTGATGAGAAAACAGCCGAGCGAGTCTTCTCCGATGGCTGTGCATCGACGACCTCTAGGAACCCCGTCCACCACTCCTGTTTGGCTTTATAAATGAGGCAACGTTGCTCTCCCTCTCCCATCACCCTTCAACAATATCTTACATTCTAAAAAACATCTCCTTGGCTGCCTCCTCAGCCACATCATGGCCCCCAACGTTCCATGTTCCCCAAGTGGGCCCTCTTCCCTTCTCCCCCACAGTCTTTCTCTTGGTAACCCCATCAGCTTCCAGGAGTTCAGTGATCATCTCTCTGCCGACGGCTCCAGATCTGACCCAGTCTGTCCCCGTGTTGTAGGCTGGTCGCTCCAGAGACACTATTGACTCCATACGTCTCAAAGCAGCCGATGTGGTTATCTTCTCTACTTTTTAAAAAAGGCTTCACTGCACATCACTCTCCGCCCTGCCCTCTGTGGTCCAGCCTAACCGGCCTCAGTGTCCCTTCTTCACGATGCCCGGCAAGCAGTGCTTCCTCCAGGAAGCCTTTCTGATCTCCCCCAGCAGCCAGCGCCCTCCTTCCCAAACTGCCATATTTCTGACACTTTCTATTTATTTTACAGACACATGTATTTCTCAGTCAGAATGCCAGCTCCCAGTGAGTGGGGATTGTTTCATTCTTTGTCCTCATGTGTCCAGTACCTGGCACAGCACCCAGCACACAGCAGGTGTTTAATAAATGTTTGCTTGCTTAACTGACTGCCTCTGGCATCTGAGCCACCCACGAGCGCCACCGCATTTCTCACAGTCCTCTCTCCGTCACTGAGGGTCACCAGACAGCACCTCCTCTGGAGTCCTCTGTGGGCTTCACTCTCTCATCTTCTGCACATTTTACAGACCTCCCACCAGATGAGGGAACTGAGACAAAGAAAGATGAGCTGACTGCCCAGGGTCACACAGCTAGCGAGCATCTGAGGCCAGATGTGAGTCTTCTGCCTCCCAGCCGCCACAGGAGGGAGGCCCCCTCAGAGATGGGAGGGCAGCAGCCTCCGGCCCCCTGGGGAGATGGCTCCGCAGCCCTCCCCCAAGGCCTGCCAGGCAATGTCTCCAGGCCCCCCTGCCACCTCCAGGGTTGTCCCAACGAGCACCCCGACTCACGGAGCGAGCGCGGCGCTTGAGAGGCTTTCTGAGGCTGAGACGCGAGGACGGGGGTGCGATCGCACAGGCCCTTGACAGCTTCCCTGGGTGGAGAATTCCTCGGAGAGCTTCTCCAAACCACATCAAGCCTGTCCAGTTACATAATCCCAGCTGTTTAACAATGGTTGTGCCTCATCTGTCTTGGTTTGGCTGCTGCTGGGAGCCAAGCACACACACCTGGTTTCCCCTCAGGACAATTCCCCCGTTACAGCTGTTGTCTAACAGGCGGATGGTCCTGGAAGGTACAGAGGGCCAGAAACAGGCCTCCGGGCCTGTGGCGAAGGCCCAGCCACGAGCTCATTGCCCAGCCGCGCTCAGACAGGCTGCTGCGGAATGCCACCTTCACAGCTGTAGCTAATTGGAAGGGCAGCTCCCTGAAGAGGGGGTGGAGGACTCAGTTTCCTCTTCTGTCTAAAGAATCCCCCGGCCCGAGGTGCCTCCTCTGCTGAACCACAGCCAGGCCCAGGACACCATGTGAGACGATTTAAGGCGCTGCCGCCACTATAGAAAACATTCAACTTCCCGTGACAGAGGGGACACCGAGCCCAGCCCTGTATCCCCCCCAGAAGCCTCAGAGACAGAGACTCCACACGTCTAAAAGCCTTTTCCTCTTCCACACTTGCTGATTTCTGTCTGAGGCACCATTTCAACCCCTCACTCTTCGTCAGCCCCCAAATCCAACCAGTCCTCCTAGCTTACCACTTCTCACAGCAGCACTGGTACTCAACGCCCTTCTCCTAACCCTAGCCCTCGGGGACCAGAGCTTTGGGGTCCACCTCACCTCTCACCTCGATTACGCTACCTCTGCTTCCATCCCAGACCATTTCCTGCGGTTCCTTACCTGCAGATCTGACCACACCACTCCCCTGGTTTGTCTGCCTTTCCAGCCTCAGTGGACACTACCCTCCTTCCCAACCCGGATACATCCAAATTGGCTTTCTCGTCATTTTGCACCCCATAACCACCCCCAGGTCGGGAACCCACACCTCCCTCACTTTCGCTCTTCCTTTGAGATGCAGCAGAGACCCCATCTTCTGCATGAAGCCTTCTCCTCAACTGCTCAGGCCCTCTCACCATGGGGTGGGGCTAAAGGCAGAGCCAGAGGCAGAGGCAGTTTGTGCACAGTGCTGAGCACAGGAAAGAGGTTCAGTACATGCTTGTGGATCGACTGACTGATGAATAAGTGCTCATACAACTGACAGATTAGTAAAGGGTTAACTGATCCTGCTGTCAAGTGAATCTCTTGTAAATGCTGCCTTTCATCACCCCCCCAAAAAAAGGAAAAGGAAAAACCACCCTCTTTCTGTTCTCATGCTCATTCACCAAACAAAGCAAAACAACAAACCACATCAAGGCCTGCTGATCAAAAAGGAGACGAAAAAGGAAAGGAAAAAAGGACAAGCATTCCAAACAAAGTGCAGCTGGCTTCTGTTTGGAAACAACAGCCCCAGATCCCACTTGCCACAATAAAACTGGCAAATAAGAAATCACCCTGTGATGGTGGGTCTGGAAGGTTCCCACGGCACAGCGCCTCTCTCATTCCTCCTGCATCTGGAGGCCAGGCTGGCGAGGGAGCCTGGTAGAAGGGGCAGCTTTGCCTGCTGCTGCCGGCTGGCTGCCACCTCCACGGGCACTGCCCTTGCCCCATCTCCTCCTTCACCCAGACACCCCCCCCAAGATGTTCACTGGGTTCACCTGTGCACCAGCCCCGCCCTGACTGAGCCCCCAGGAACTGAGTGGTGGGGGGTGGATTTGGCTGCCAAGTGCTCTGAGGCCTTGGGATCATCGCTGGCAATAACAACAGGGCCAATCACTCTTGGAGGAGCTCCAAATTCGTCTCCACACCCACTGGCCAACCCTAAAATCCTCAGCCTGTGAGAGGGACCTGGCTCTGGAATGTCTTGGGCCCCTTCGTTTCACAGACTTTACCACACATGGAAGAAGGAACGCTAACCAAGGAATGTCCACTGGCATCTTCCTCCGCCACCTCTACCTCCAACGATGCCCCAGAGTTATCAAGTCTCCGCTGACACAGAAAGCAGGCTCTGGGAAGAAGGCCTTAGGAGTTCACAAAAGTATTGATCTACCCAGAAACTTGAGGTCTGACACATAGACCTCACTACCAGAAGGCTGGCTAAAGTCCTGAGCCTTGGATACTTTAGTAAAGGACCTATCATGTGGTAGAAAGCCCTGGCTTTGGGGTCCAAGGACCTGAGTTCAGATCCTTGCTCTGCCCCTTTCTATCTGTGTGAACCTGGGCAAGCCACTTACCTCCTATTTTCCCATCTATAAAACGAGTAAATCATACTGGATTTTTCTCTAAGATTAATTCGAAATCCATGATCCTATGGAATGGCATGAGGTGGCCATTTTTCACTTATTCAGTTAATAAACATTTCCTGAGAGCCTAATAAACAATGATCTACTTAGCAGGGGAGACCAGCCACATACAAAAATTACAAATGGGCAGCGCATACCTGAGTCACGACCCATTCACCAAGGGAGAACCACAGATGGACCTCCCCCTCAGCCAATAAGGATACAGGGATTGTTGTCATCCATGCTGCAGTTGTCCAGAATCAGGGGAATGCCATCCAATTCGTACACCTAACCAGAGAGAACAATTTTTGTTAAAAATCATTCCAGGAATGTTGAAACCTTAAACCCCAAATGGAAACAGTTTTGATTCTTTTCTGGGAATCTGATGCCTGGTGCTGTCCATATGACAGGGACCACATATAATACACAAGTGGACATTTTAACGAAATTCAACAACTGAAGAATGACATGGAAACTAACTAACCATTTCCTAATTTCAGGCTGAAATCTCCTTGGCTATGATGAGGATAAGAGGGAGGCAGATTCCATGAATACGTTTCCAGTTGGGTTTACTCTAAGCCCATGAGGATGGAGGCGGAGGCCGGAATTCTCAGTATCTGGAGCTGAAGATGATAGCTGAAAAGTTCTGCCCAAGCCCTTCTGAGATTCCTCATTCTAGGTAGGGCCTAACCTAACCCTACGTCCTATCAAAAGGGGCTGACGACTTCAGGGCCTCATCATCTTCCCTCCACCCTCACTCCCACCCCCAGGGAGGCTGCCACCCAGACAAAGCACATTTTCAAGTACGGCAACAAGAAAAGAATTGGTGAGAATCGGCCTAGACGGGGAGGACCCCAACCACTCAGGCTCAGCTTCACAGGTCTGGAGGACCTTAGGGCAGCCCATGGCCGGTTCTGGGAGTTCTGCTCTGTTTCTGCTACTTCTGTTATTATTGGCCTGGATGAAAGCAGATGTGGCTGGCTTGCCAAACAGGCAGATGAGCAAAGAGGGGTGGGATAACAGACATCATGTGATGGAAAATCCTAGACACAAAAAGATCTGGACAGGCTGGAATGAGACATCCACTTGGCAAGGACATGAAGGGGGAGGGGGTGATACGAACGATGAACAACAGTTCCTGAGGACACAGCCCAGGGTTCTTCACGGACCATGAGGTCACTGTGGGCCTGCCAACGAGGGAACACCTCTCAGCTGCATCAAGAAGGGCCGCCCTGGTGGAGCCCCATCTAAAAGGCGCCACTCCATTCAGGCCGCCACCCTCTAGGAAAGACGTGGATGGATGAGGATACGTTCAGCACAGCATGACCAAGACGATGAAGGACCGGAGAACAGGCCCTCAGGGGATCCAATAAAGAAGCCCAGGGGATGCTGAGCCTGGCTCTCGTCCTCCCCCAGTCCCATATTCCAAGTGTGACTTTGAGTCTGGGTCTCCACCTCCCCATCTTTACAGGAGGATCTCTATGATTCCTTCTGGCTCTCAATCCCTCGATTGCATCGAGTGGGGACGGCCAAGGGAATACACAGACTACGTGGCACAGCAGGGTCAGGACCCAGGACTTTTGTAAAAACCAGTGTTTCTGAACCGAGGCCTTTGGATTCCTGGGCTGCCCTCTCCTCTACCACCCGTGCTCCCAGCATGGCCAGGTCTGGGTCTGGACAGATCAGGCCACAAGCCTGCTCTTTTTGCATTAAGGAAACATTTTCAGAAAACATTTTGTTCTCTTTTTACAAATGACAAAATGAAATGACAAAGTTTAAAACTCTAGAAAAGAAAAAAAAACCTTTTGCTCCTTGAAATTTCAGATTTCTGGTATGTTAAAGTGGATAAGATTTTCGTTGCAAGCAAACCAAGTCAACACTTTGCAATTTGAGATTTCAGCCGGTGGCAGTAACCGATGGGTGCCTGGCAGCTGCAGCTAGGACCGGGTGGTGGCTTCCCTGAGGGGATGCTCGCAGGGAGAATGTTCAAGAAAACAACTACATCAGAAAGAAGCTTGTAAAGAAATCCTGGACTTGTAGACCGTCAGAGCCGGAGAGGAGGCGAGAGTGCCCTTATCAAGCCCCTCCTTTCAGAAGAGGAAGCCAAGGCTCAGAAAGAGCCTGGTCCAGAGGCTGACTAAGCCAGGGCAGGCTGGTCAGCCATGAGGCCCTGAGGCCATCCCCTGTGCCTCAGGGGCCACAAACCAGGCTAATGTTTGGATCACCACATTTCAACACAACTGGTTTCCTTTGTCATTCCATCTGCTTCATTTTGTGCGTTTAAAGACATGATTCTGAATAGCAGCTCTTTTTGTGGAGGCAAAGAATTGGAAATTGAGAGGATGCCCATCAATTGGGGAATGACTGAGCAAGTCATGGTATATGAATGTAATGGAATACTATTTTGCCATAAGAAATAAAGAGCAGGCTGACTTCAGAAAAACCTGAAAAGACTTGTATGGTCTGATGCTGAGTGAAGTGAGCAGAACCAGGAGAATGTTGTACACAGTAACAGCCATGTTGTGCGATGACTAATATTGAAAAACTTAACCCTTCCCAGCAATACAAGGATCTAAGACATCTCCAGAGGCCTCATGATGGAAAATACTATCCACATCCAAAGAAAGAACTATGGAGTTTGAATTGCTATTTTTTTTCTCTTCTGTTGAGTTTTGTTTTCTCTTTCTGATGGTCCTCCTATTGGTTTTAATTTTTACTTACAATATCACTAATGTGAAAATATGTTTAATAGGAATGTATAAATGTATAGCCTATATCAGATTGTCCGCCATCTTGGGGAGTGTGGGGAGGAGGAAGGGAGAGAAAATTTTAAACTCAAAAGCATATGGAAGTGATTGTTGATAAATCAAAATAAATTAATAAAAGAAAAAAAGGAGAAAAAAAAAGACATGATTCTGAGGAGGGGCCACAGGCAGTGCAAGGAGCTGGTGGGGGGGAGGGAGGCAGCCCCAAGGCCAGGCCGCACTGGCCCCGCCCAAGCCCCGGGGTCACATTCATCAGCTGAGCACTTTGGTGCCTCCCTCAGCACCCGGTGAAGACTCAGAGGACCCTGCGCCAGGACAGGCCTTACAGACTGGAACCTTGATGTCCCCTCCTCCCGGCAGCCCCCGGGCCTGCTTCCTCTTCACTGAGCTCCCTGCTCACTCCAAGCTTCTTCCCTAGGGCGCCTCCCTTGCAGGCCGGGCAGCCCGTGGAGGTGGAGGGACCACCAAGGGAAAAACACCTAGATGCTCAAGCTCCCTTCTCTTCACACATCATAAAACAAACGAGTTGCTTGTTACTCTGCCTAACAAGCTGAGAATTGATTATGGGTCCATAACAAATGAGTCATGGGCTGTACCTCGCATGAAGGAGTCAATACTTTGTAAGGGCAGCGCACAGGCGGGTTTCAGCAGGTGAGCACAGAGCCCTGAACGGACCGCTAACGTGCAAACGTACTGGCGGGCCCAGGAGGTTACCGGGGTCATCCCCCACTTTTCTGAAGCTCCACGTTTTCAGCTGGGGCTGACCTCTGTATATGTTGCCTCAGAGTCCGGACTGGCAGCCACTGTCTGCTTACGTGGGATTCGATCTTGGCTCTCCAGCTGACCAGTCAATGAAGACGCTGCCAGAAAGGAGAAAAAGAATGGGCACCAAAGGCGCCCAGTGACCTGCATAAAAACAGGGGCTTTGGAAAGGACTGCAGAATGTTGTATAAAGCAGTTCCAAAGAGAAGAAAACCTGGAATCGCGTCGGTCTGTGACTGCAATCACATCCTAGCCATTCCAGGTGGGGTCTTGGACACGACTCCCTCCTTCTAGCAGAGGGGGCATGCCCTTCTGTCAGCCAGGGGCCCACAGCCACCACAGAGGCCTGAAGACCGGAGCAGACGTCTGGCTTCAAACAGAGTCCTCCTTGTGCCCAGGACCCACACTCCCCCAGGGGCAGGGGCCGGCCCGGTCCACCTCGCACAGAGCAGCTGCCTCCTGGCCGACCTCTGGGCCCTCTGCCTGGATCCTCGTTCATGCCAACCCCTTGGCATCCAGCACTTAGAGATGTGTCATGCTTCGGATCTTGTCCTTTTTGATCAGGGACTGCTGAACTAATCCCCACCCCCTATCCCAAGCATCATTCCTCCTAAGTGGGAAGGACCTCCGAGGGCTAGAGCCCAGGACAGTGCTGCCCTCAATGCCATTACCACCCGTTTACCACAAGGTGAATCACAGAAGAACCGGCAAAAAACTATCTGCTGGGAATCACCCTCAAACGTGACTTTCCATCTGCCTGGTCCTTTCTTTTTTCAGGGGGCTAACCAAGTAAACTCCACCATGCCCAGTGAGGTGTTTAGAGGCCAAGATGAATGCCTGACATTGTAAGGTAAAGCCAAGAGAAAATGGGAGCTAAGAAGCTCAGGCCTCCGCAGCCTTCCACAGCCCCCCCCCCCAGGGAGAGCCACAAGCCAAGAGGGGCAACTGCAGGGAAGACAAAGCCCTCGGGGCAGGCTGCTTGGCACATCTGTGCCAACACTCAGGGCTCACCTGACAAGGGAGCCCATCGGAAACTCTGTACCTTGGGGTGGAATTTACCCCAGAAAGCACCATCTGCACCGTCACACTTCAGAGCCTGAACAGGGTCTTTTCGAGAATCCCCAGCTCTGGGCAGCAGCCGAACCCACTCAGCCTTTCACTTGGAACCCGTACTCTGAGTCTGTTCTTCCACTACCAGTCCCTCTCTGCCAAACTGCCATGCTGTCCAGGTTGGGGAAGAGCTGCTAACCCAGGGAAAGGGGAAAGGGTGGGGGGAAGGGAGGCAGGGCCAGGCCCCTCCCACAGTATTGTCTCTAAAGCAAGCCTTCTGCCAAGCAGGGAGAGCTCCAGGAAACAGGAGAGGGAGAAAGACACTGCCCCGCAGCAACAGGAGGGTGAGGGGCCTTAGGACTCTCTCTGCTGAACGCAAAGTAAGTGCCCACTCAGTGAAAAGGCCCGTGCCAAGAGCTGGGGGAGATACCTAGATAAAGAAGGCATCTCTGCCCTCTAGGGGCACAAATGCAATTAAGAATAAAGTGGGTTGAGTCTTTGGGAGCCACAGAGCATCCTGAGTGATTAATGCCTTGGGCCTTCTCATGGCCAGTGCACAGACCAGGGAAAGAAGCACAATCCCAAGGGGGGAGGGAGCCTTCTGTGGCCAGACGCAGCCCAGGGAAGAGTGCCAAGGCCACCGTTGCTGAGGAGGCCGAGCCACAGGCAGCGCCCCAGGGTGAGAGGCGGCTGGGAATAAGAAGACACTTG